GGCACACCAAGAACAAGAAAGACAACTTTAAAGAAGAGCTTCCTTGTGATTCCTTTATTTCAGTTTCACGACAAAATATAATCCAAGGAGAGAAAGCTGTGTGGAGAGTCATGGTCTTCCCTGTAATCTTGAGCCCCTTTTAAAGTTTCTCTGTATCCAGCTTATTTTTGTAACCCTTAATTTCGTGATTCCATAAAGAAAACATTGAATCATGCTTTAATGACCCATATAAAGCCCATTAGGGCAAGCTATCAAATTCATTGCCTTTTTCTCTATAGCAACAGTTGGGGCGGGAGATTAATCCGGTAAAGCTTAATTAATTAATTAATTAAGCTTTACCGGATTAATCTCCCGCCCCAACTGTTGCTATAGAGAAAAAGGCAATGAATTTGATAGCTTGCCCTAATGGGCTTTATATGGGTCATTAAAGCATGATTCAATGTTTTCTTTATGGAATCACGAAATTAAGGGTTACAAAAATAAGCTGGATACAGAGAAACTTTAAAAGGGGCTCAAGATTACAGGGAAGACCATGACTCTCCACACAGCTTTCTCTCCTTGGATTATATTTTGTCGTGAAACTGAAATAAAGGAATCACAAGGAAGCTCTTCTTTAAAGTTGTCTTTCTTGTTCTTGGTGTGCCTCTCGGTTTAGAGAGAGAGAGAAGGTGAGGAGAGAGAGAGAGAGAGAGAGAGAGAGAGAGAGAGAGAGAGAGAGAGAGAGAGAGAGAGAGAGAGAGAGAGAGAGAGAGAGAGAGAGAGAGAGAGAGAGTGAATTATTTCTTGTAAGTCGATGTGGTCGACGGTGTAATTCTCAAAGCTAATAAAATTCCTCTGCAGCTCTATTGACGTAGGCAATTTGCCGAACCAAGTAAATCTGTGTTTTTTTGTTTGTGTCGTGTCGCCTTTTTCTGGTGTAATTTTCTAGATCTATTTTTCGTTTTATTTGTCATCGTTTTTCATAACAATTAAATGTCTGCATGTGCTCCAACCATGTATTGAATGCTCAAGTATTATGTTTGAGAATGTTGTGCAGGCTAATCGGGTCGTCTTATCTATAAGATTGGGTTGTAAGTCCCACCCTATTAGTTGGATCCTCCTCCTCTTAAAGACTAGAGTTTACGAGTCTAATAAGCCCTATTAATTGTCCAAATCTTAAAATAGGAGTTTACAAGTCCAAAAGACCAAACTAATATGATACTCCATGTAAAAGCAAAAGTTGACATAACTTATATTTTTAAAAGCTTAAACTAACAAACTAAATGTTTTCTCTTCAAACATAAAAATTATAAAATGTTTAAATCCCTGATCAAGATCGTGTTGATTGAATAATTCAACCGAATGAGTCACTCTCTTAAATCAAGTTTTTTTTTAAAATAAACAACTAATATTCAAGTTAAAACTCAATCACTTAAAGAACTTAAAGCAAAATCCCATCCACCCTTTGCAACAGTTTGTCGAGGGTGACAAACGTTTGATTGACTTTTACTCACAAATAGCAAATGTCATATCAAGCATGCTTCTATATTCACAATTAAAGCAATTGCATGTCAGTCAAGACACGACCTGAGTCATCTGTCTGTGTGGTTCTGCCGCCAAATGGCACCACAAAATAGCGGTCATGGTCAAACCCCTCTGACTAAGTGGTTGTCGTTAAATGACACCATTATATTATGATCACGGCCGCAGCTCGTATGTTTCTCAACGACTTTCTACCATTTGAGTTGTAAATCACAAGAATACAATTGATTGGCATAAAACATTTTTATTAGCTAAGATCTACTTAAATTTGTCTCCTCACATAAATATCCACCCAGATCTACATTGACACTTTAGATGATGCAAATCATGGTTGTTAACAAGGATTCTCTGTCAGATTGGGTCAACTACCTCCTATGACTAAGTAGATCAGGGACTGCAATAATCCGGGATTACGGAACCATGAGATCTTGATTCGGTTTCGTCTTCATTCCCCCACCAACCACATTAAGCTTCATGTGATGAATTATACAACTTAAATCTGTCATTATATGTTGAAAACTTAATTCTTAGTGATTAGCCTTAATCGAAAGTGCTCTTCCGTTATCAGGAGACAAAAATTAACCATAGGTGCTTGTGCTTAAGGGAAACCTCGAACCCCATATAAAAAAGTCCTCGCAAAATAATGGTGAAATCTCTAGGTAGTGTATTATTTATAATTTAATCTGTCTTCTGAAAATTCGACCCTCCAAAGCTCTCTAAAAAAAATGATGATAGTTGCCCTAAGAAGCAGTCGATGAATTTTCAAAGCCCACAAAAGTAAATTTCAATAATTGCAACATAAAACTAGAAATTAGAATCTTAATCATTGGATGAAGAATTCTGAAGAAGACTTTATTAAATGCATAATATATTAGTCAAAAATAAAATAAAAAATCTCAAAATATTAAATTTGAATGCTTACTCTATTTTAAATTTTTGAGTCTCACCAAGTTACATTATGGATTATATAAACTAATGTTTTTTTTAAGAATGTTGAGCCAAAAGGTCATACACGTGAATCAAACACGCGATCTCATAATGAGAAACTAAATTCTCAATCACTATCCCACAGACAAGTGTGTTGTATGAACTAATGTTGATTTAAATTGTTAGGAACACCGTTTGAACAATTTCTTTCATATTTTATTATTAGAGATACAACTGCATTATTGAAATATGATATTTCTTTTATTTGTTGTAAAATAATTAAATTAGGAAAAAAAATATTATTTATGATTCAATCAATCTTAGACCACAACATATTTTTTTAATCTCATAAAAAAAATTATTACATTAATGTATATCTAGAGTGATATTAAATAAATTCATGTAATTTAAATTCAGGTATAATTCTAATTATTTAAAATCTTTAATCACTTTCATTCTAATATCACTTCATCATCATCAAACCACAAAAAAGCCAGACATGAGTTACCTTTTGGTATTGGCACACCAATAACATGAATTTAAGGTTAAAAAAAAACATTTATTACATTAGTTTATATAAAAAGTGACATTAAATAAATTTATGTAATTGAAATTCAGCTTTTGCACCTAATGAGTATAATTTTAATTATTTAATATCTTTTCTCTTTCATACTAATTTCAATTTATCATTATAAACCCACAGAAAAGCTACACATGAGCTACCTTTGGTATGGGCACACCCATAATTAGAAAGCAACATGAATTTCAACGTCCTAAAATCCTAAAAATATAATTGGGGCATTTAAACATACTACACAACTGTTATATATTTGCACATCTAACACCTAAACTCGAAGCAGACAACAATGACAGCCAGAAGATCGCAATTAGCAGCTCTGCACAACTTAGAACAGCCGCAAGACATAAGACGACAGCTCCAAAAATTCAAGTTTCCAAAGCTCTAAAACATGCCTGATTCAGAATTAACACAAATGATTTTCTTTAATCTACAACAAAGCTTAAGAACTCGAAAACCCCTAAATACCATCAATATATATATAAATTCCTTCTCCCTAAATGCACAACAGCCTCAAGACAAACATGAGGAGAAAAAGAAAAAAGCCATTCAAGATATTCATTCACCTAGGGCTTCCACTTTTCTGTTTAGCCTTCTCAATCAGCGGCTTCAATTGTTTCTTCTCCGCAAGAATCTTCAGGAAATTGAACAGAAACGGAATATAATTGTGCTTCCTTCTAATATTTTCTGTCTTCCACTTCTTGAACTTCTCCTCCTCCATTATAATCTTGGTGGTCACATTTTCAATCCCCGATGTCACCTCCGTGAGGGTTTTGTTAAGGGCGTCAACAGCAGCAGGCTGCTTGTTCCCGCTGCTTACCTGCTCGTTTAACTGCTGCAGAAGCACTTCCCTCTTCCTCTGAAGCTCCTTCAGCTCCGCCGTGTACATCTCTTTTCTGTTCTTCACTATCGCCATAAGATTGAACCGAATCTCGTTCTGAGAATATCTCTCAATTCGCTCCTGAATCACCGGCTGCACGATTCTGAGCCATTCCGAATCACCGTTATCGCCGGAACATTTGCCGAGACTGATCGGACCTTCCTTGAGTCCATCGAGCTCGTACAGAACCCCATCCACGGGGACGTAGCTTATGAAGTGGTAGATGTCATCATCCTTGGTTGCGGCCCTCTGCTCATCGGGGACGAAAGGCTCGGGTCTTGCGAAGCTGTTGTGAGCCGTGCGAATCGCTTCGCTGTTATTGATGGCGAGGCCCTTGAGTTCGGGAGGGAAGTTCTTCGTAAATTCTTTCAGCAACGAGAGTTCGGGCCCGATGTCGACATCAGCGCAGTTCATCAGAATTGAAAGGATGGCTTGGGTTGCACAAGCATTGTTGATAACCTGGCTAGCAAAGAAAAGGTTCGATACTTGATCCTTGATGACGGGACGGTCATCCTTTTCGCCGGGTCTCCATTTGAACAAGAATACCAGCCCGTAAACTGGCCTGCCAACAAATGAGGTGCGTCAGTGAAGGTAAGGAAGAAGAGAACCATACGACTAATTTTCAGTAAGAAAGATGATGCACCATAGTTCGTTTAGAGTGTCTATGTCCAGAGAATACAGTTCCTCTACCTGTTTTAAGATTGAGAAACAAAAATCAAATTTGCATCTTGGATTACAGACTCTAGATAATTTAGATGACAAGGCTAATCGTAAGAACTTTTAGAAAGGAGAAGTGGATTAACAAACTAACAAAGAAAAATCAATATCACATGAAGAAGCCAGAGATGCAAATTGCAAAGTGGAGAAGTATAAAAGAAAACTAGAGAAGAGGATTAACCACTCAATCCACTTAACAGAATCTAATGACCAAAATAAAGTGGAATAAGAGTTTCTAGAACTAGTTATTATAGGAGATCCTGCACGTATTTTCAAATTAGAGTAGAGTAAATAAGTAAACTAATGACGAAACTAATAAAGGAGCCATTAATTTTGGATATATAAAACATATAAATGTCATCGAGACAAGCTTTAGTTTTCTTAAATGCCCTATCAGTTAACAGAGTTAAAGCCTAGTTAAGAGTTATTTATTAATGACAACAATATCTTGGCCAAATCTCCCAACATTTAGAATTCTGGCTATCTGAAGTTAAGATAAATGGCTATAAAAACAAAGCTCAAAATTACAATTGATTTTCTAAATTACATTAGATTTCTTAGATAAAATTGAACCAAAACACATTGCATGTGATAAATAGCATCAGCATTTCAAGTAACATTTTATTAAAACATTAAACCAAACAACCCCTTGAACTCTGAATAATATGTTATCTAAAATAAATTGAACCAAACAACCCGTTAGATTCAACAAGATACCAATTATTTGGTCAACTTTTTTTTTAATTACCAAATATTTTCAATGAAATTTTGAAAGATTAAGATGTTGCTAAATGACCGGAGAAGAATCATTTAATTACCAATATTTAAGAGAGATACTTTTTGAAAATTTAAATTTATTTTTAAGAAACCAATAGGCATCATACAATATTCATTGTGAAAGTAATTTCTGTGATTTCTGTGTTAAAGTTTTTTTTTTTTTGGTGGTAAAGATATTTAAATGAAAAAAATATCTGGAGCAATAAATGATTTTAATATAATTTGTATTGACCTTGAGAAAAAATAGATGATCAAATAATATAGAAACTAATATGTTGCAGATTAAGAAAAATTTTGTGAACAACATGTATTTTAAAGTTATAAAAAATATCTATGATGGAGCATTGAATGGAATTAGCAATTGTAGAGTGAATAAGGGATTGTTTGGTTAGCAACAAGAAGAGTGCATTATATTTCTTTTGCAATAATTCTGAAAATAAATGCATAGTTAGAAGAAAAAATAAATACAATATAAAATTACAATGCATTGAAAATTCATTGTCTACTTCACTTTCAATGTATTTGAAATTGACTCGGGGTTTGTTCGAGGCAGCTGCAATTGTTTGGAGAATAAATTGTTAAGTTGTTATTACAATTTTTTTTTTAAAGAATCAGACCTTGGCTTTCTAGCAGCCACCACAAGTAGCCAGATATTGTGAAAAATGAAGCATTTAACTACAACTTTTTGATAACGCAAGAAAAAAGCAGTTTTACCACATATGAAAAACTGCAATGCGACACCACACCGCCGCCGCACCACCACCCTAAGGGTGAATTTTAGTTACACTGCTTAGTATGTAGTGTTGACTGTCGATGCCACCATCGACTGCTTGCCATACTATCATCTATCCCCTTGCCCCTCCCATCAAAATTAAGAGAGATATTTGAAGTAATGATAATTATGGAAGAGTTAAATTTATGAGTCGCAGAATAAAGAAACAAAAGAATAATGTAACACAAATTTAGAAAATTTACTTTTATTTTTGAGAATCCAATGGGCATCATAACAAAATCCAATGTGGAAGTGATTTTTGTGTCAGATTTTTTTATTATTATTATTATTTGTGGTAAAGATATTTAAATGAAAATTATAGAGAACATATAAAATATTTTAATATGATCTGTATTGATCTTGATAAAAAAAAAGACAGAATATTATAAGAACTAGTATGTTGCGCATTAAGAAAAAATTTGTGAATGAAGTATATGTTAATGTTTTAAAAAATATGTATGATGAAGCATTTAATGGCATTGGTAGTTGTACAGTGACTAAGGAGTTGTTGGTCGATAACAAAAGGAGTGCAACATTGAATGGTGTTAGTAGTTGCAAAGGGACAAAAGGAGCTGCTATCAGTAACAAAAGGAGTGCACTGTATTTCTTTTGAAAGAGATTTGGAAATACGGGTGTTTAGTCAAAAGAGAAACATATGTAGTGCAAAATTACAATGCATTAGAAATTCATTCCTAATTCAGTTTTAATGTATCAGAAATTCGTTAGATTTGGGAAAATTCTTAATACACTTAAGTGCAAATTGCTCTCTGCCACTGCCCCGCACCCACCAACCGCCCGTCATGTAGTTAAGGCCGAGTACGTTGCAAGGATTCTAATAATTGACAATAAAAAATTAATCATTGACAGCTAAGCTGCGTGTGACAAATGAGAATATTACAAAGAAACTGTGACAAAACTATAAAGGATAAATAGACATATGATTATGTCATTATATTATAAGCATAGTTGATGAAGCATTTATCAAAGATAAATAAAAGTAGGCTTTGAATTATGAGGACATATACAATGATGGGTAGAAAATGCACCCAATTAGATGGGCTAGAAAAAATTAACATCAAAAGTTTGAAAAGAAAAGGGGTAGACTTCAGAATAAAAAAGGTAAACTATTAAAAAAAATGATGCCAGAGAATAAATTTAACATCTCTTGCATCCATCATTAGGAATGAGAAATGATTGTGAATGCAAACTAAATGATGATAATGGAATCAAATAAGCCAACATTTGTCCCATGAAATTTTATTGATACGGCTAACCAAAAAAACTAAAGTGAATCTCTATCATCTATGGCTAGTCAAGGTTGGTTTATAGCATGCAATTTCTAGGCAGGTGAAAAATTAGGCCTTCCTACCAGCTTGTCAAATGGGCCACCCATCACTTGAAAATAATGCAGTTTAATATGATTTTAATATTTAAACAGAAGTAAAAGACTAGCCCGATTAGCCCAACTTTCCATTTGATCAGGCAAATACACACTGATTGACAAACCTGCCAGTGTATCCCTACACCTGAGAAGCAAAAATAGACCATAATCATCAATGTTAGACTATACTAGGCTAAAAATAATCTTATATGATTATTTTCTATAATGCTTTAGCCATGTTTTCCATTGTATCAAAAAGAAAAGAGATGCATGAATATAACTGACACTACCAAATCAGGTTATATAAAAGCAACAACAAAGTATTCCAATGACAATTAAGCAACATTAGATCAATAGTTAAGAGTTACAATATGAAAGGATCTACTTAAAAATCACAAGTTATCACACAAAAGCTATAAATATTTCCTAGCATTATCTATAGCATGAATTCAAGATAACAAACCATATAAAGAAAACAATGGAACGTAACAATAATATGCAACAAATAAACAAGAACACTACACAAATATGCAAGAGGTTTCAAGCAATGTGGGATTTGCGGAAGCTTTAATACTTAATAAACAATTAACATCCTACAAGCATAATATATTAATTGTTAGTTTACCTGCACTCCTTTCACTTGCATCTGTTGGATAAGTTCAGTGAAGACGCCTGGTAATAAGCCAGATAGGTCAGATGGAAGAAAAGAAAAAAAAAAAATCTTCATTGAGAGAGATAACAAGATGATGAAAAATACCCTTAGAAGGAGCATATACAAGCACAATGATATATTGTTACATTTTCAATTGATAAATTGACTACAAATAGCAAACAAAGCATACAAGCATTAAGGTCTCGAAATAGCCTAGTTTCCAGAAGGGATTTTATAATATAAAATCTTAAGAGCCTTCAGCAAAAATAATAGCTCAACATGAGGGCATGCTGATAAATCCTTGAATCACGTGCTTAAAAAATAATTATTGTAAATAAATTGTGAAAAAAGCTGAAAAACAAGTCGTCCTTGGCATATCCAATATGTTGGTTGATTAACTAATTTATATGAATGTTACATATATTAATATGATAATTATTTGCATTAATAAAATCTTATGATATTAAATAATTTAAATTATTTATATTTTATAAAAATAATTAATCATATAAATAAAAAGTATATTTGTTTATTTTAAGTAAAATGAATGAGAATATTAGTATATTTTAAATTTGGATATATCTATAAAAATTTATTGAGTTTTAAGTAGTGTCCTTGCTTTCTAAAGTGATTTGGTTTTTTACAACCTAAAGGGTACTATTAATATATTATAAATGCTTGGCATGTATGGTGGGTATTTTCTACCAAAGTTTAAACAAAATGATAAAAAAACCAATGCATTTTTCATAGGTTTGTCAAACAGAAGTTGGTAAAAATAATCAGCAAACTATCAGTTGATTTTTAATCGGTACATCATTATTTTCAATGGAAAATCAATCAAAAAGTTATTTAATATCAACATCTTAGCTCAACAAACAACCCTAAAAAACTAACATAAATGCACAGCCATGGGTAAACCTTTCCATTCCGTGCTCTGTCCTCCCTCTCCACCTCTCTACAAGGGCATAACCCTGAATCTAAGGCAAAACTCAATGCCACACCACCACCAGTGGCCAACTCCATCAGCTATTCCCTTGCATCGATTGCAACCAAATGGACCTTCTCACAACCAGCCGTATGCATTATCGCTGTCACTGTCTCACGCTTGAGGTAGTCATTTGTCATGCCTCCCCTCATTCATTCTCATCTACAAATGAAGCCAGCAATGCTTTGGAACTTACAGTCATTAACTGTGCAGGCGGTAATCAGAAGAATTTATTTGTGGAGCATTAAAAGATTTTGAGATATAGGGGTCTCAATTTTTGGAAAATATGATTTCTAACACCACTATCACTACCACCACCAACACTACCGTGACGTTCAATCCACTTTTCATGGCATCCATTCCAACCATTACTATCACCACAATTATCACCCATACCACACTACCAGCTCATCCACCAATCCACCCTCTTCCCTACTGGTTTCATATATCACAACATGCCATCCATATTCATCATTTATACTACCACCATATGCAAAACCATTTATAATCATCTTTCATTTACATGCCTACATGAGTCATAACATCAGGTTTAGCAAATTTGAGGTAATAAATTGTCTTTTCTTATACAAAACCAATAGCTTTGGAAAATTTGATAAATTATTTTTGCAATAATATAAGATTTTCACAGCTTCCCCAAAATCATGAGCTTATTAGAAGAGCTTTAGGTCATAGCATGACATGTTAATTCATAGATCTAGATAGTGGCCTAAGTGGGTTGGCAAGGGCGTGTGGGTAGGTAATGCGCATAGTGGAAAACTTTAAAGTGAAAGAGAGATAAAGAATAATAAAAAATTATGATTTTGATTGCAGTTGCATGAGCACCTCTCTTAATACTGCAAGTTCAGAAGTTGGGAATAAAGTCAACCACATTCTCGTGGCACAAACACACCCATCAGAGAAAGGCGTACTGATAGTGGTTGTACAATAGATCACAAAGCATTATCTAAGTGTGCATACTTTGTAATAAATATGAAAACTATGTAATATTTCAGAAAAAAAAAAAATTTGCAAAATGAGAATGTAAATGAGAGATACCCAAGTCTATCAAGGGTTGAACTTTAGTGGATTGAGTGCCACAATTCAATGATTGAGTCAGCAACATGTCATAACAACAAAATATGATGATGAAGGGAGCAAAAGAGATGAAAGCAGTGGAGAAGTGAATAAGTAGACAATAGTAAATGAACAATTTGTAATAACTTTATATTTGTTTCGCATTAGTTTTACTTGTGATGCTTAATTGTTTTGAATTACTTGATGTGCATGCTATCATGCTTGACTATGAAAAATGAACCGTTATTAGGACCTTCATAACGGACATTATGCAAATTGATTCAGTAAGGAATTGTTGTATAAAAAATTTTTGTGTTACCAACGAATTTTTTTGTTAGTAATTTAATCATAAAAAAAAAAATAATAATAATAATAATAATTCTTGATAATTACTGGAAGAAAATTCACCAAATTATTTTCGTGAATTGCTATCTAAAAGATCATGGATTCACACCCGAGATCAAAATTTAAGAAATGAAATATGATTGTTTGACAGATGTTAGTTCATCAATAATCATTTTTGGTGGAGTATTTACCAGCATATTATAAATAGTACGAAACTTCAATTTTTGACAGACAACATCCCAATTAAAACATATTTTTCTGTAGTGATAGCTCAAAACTTTTCATGGCTTCCTTACACTCCTTGACTGTGTGCCAAACTCCCCATTCAATTCCAAGTTCTTATTATTCACTTGGCACCTCCCCCATTCATTTGTGAACCCAAAGGTTTCTTCCACCTTCCTCAACTTATTCAAAAATTCCAAAAATGATCAGTTTAAATTCTCTTTCACAAAATAGTGAAAGACGTGTATACTACAAATATTTGTCATAGTTAAGCAGGTTAACTAAAGAAAAATACTAATATTATTGCAAGAAAGAGTCTATTTGCTTGGTGCTTCAACTATGCTTCGAGTCAAACCATCTTTTATTGATTTCTTCGAAGTCTTAATAACCAACCCAACAGATTATTTGAAGTGATCAATTATTTAGTTAATTAAAACCATGTTTCCTCCCTGTTTTGCCTTGGTGCAGCCTTGGGTCTGGACTATATAAATACTGAAAATTTTCGGGTAATTGTTGGTATGTACTAAATAATCCAGTGGGTTTTTCCTCTATTCTCTATCCCTCTCAATCTTTTCCTCTCTCTCGCTTTTGACCCTTGATATGCTACACTTGAAAACCAAAATCTTGAAAAAGAACAAGGCTAACAAAGTGGAGAAACTCAGATTTCATAAAGGCTTTCTATTAAAAAGTGCCGAAAGATATCATTGACTCATCTTTTCTTATTCTTCCAATTGATATCAGAAAACATAAATTATAATCTTGATAGCATTGGTAGCATGGGAGAAGAAGAAATTCACTTAGAAAAATAATTTCAGTCTTTGGAGGCTGAAAATTACAATATGTTCATGTAAAGATTTGTAGAAATCCTGCCAACAAAAACCACAATGATATTCTACTTGGCCGTCGTTATGAAATTTTGCAAGAGGATGCAGATGAACAACCAGCAATTCGAGTAATGGAAGAAGTTAGTCTACACACTTGAAGAGATCGTATAGATGATTCCAAATCACTCAAAAGACATTTGGATGAATTTAAAAATTGATGGCATTGAAGCTGAAACCAAGAGTGATGATCTTGCAACAGTCCTCATGAGTTATTTTTTATGAAGGCATAAATATTTTGTAGATATAATTTCATATTGGAAAATCACTCTTGTTAAGATTGAAGTGACATCAATCCTCAATTCGATAAAACTGCAAAAAAAAAAATTGAGACTCAAAAAAAAAGAGAGAGAATGCTGGTGGTCTCATGACTAGTGGAAGAATGGAAAAGTGCAATGTCAGCAACAAATAACAATCAAGATTCAAATGCCAGTTCAAGAAAATATATGTTTCAATTTCCTGAAGGCCAATTTAAGCAGATCCAGAAAGAACGATGAAGATACTTGAAAAGGAAAAGTAGCTTAGTTTGAATCATTACAAGAGTTTGCTGAGGAGCCGTATGAATGTGCAGAGGCCTCAACGATCTCACAAAGTGAGTGTAGCGCATATTGGATTATTGATTCTGGGTGTTCTTTTCACATGCCAACAAAAAATTTAGTTTGAATCATTACAAGATTTGAGTGGTTCTTTTTGTGATACTTTGAAACAAAAGGTTTGCAAGATCATCAGATTTAGTAAAATAAAGATCAGGATAGTTGATGGCAATAAAAGGCGACATCAAGAAGTGAGAAAAGCACTTAAGCTCAAGAGAAACTTAATTTTAATAGAGCCCGAGATAAAACTATACGTGGATTCAAGAGTGAAAATGAAAGCTTGAGGTTGTGGAAAAGCTCATATGTTGTCATGGAGCCTCAAGTAACAAATTGTAATCCTTAATTGGAAGAACAACCATTGGAGACTCGATGAAAACAGCTCAATTATGTCACAAGAGATTTGGAATTAAAGAGCGCTTGAAGAACTTGAGATTTTTTATGGTCTGCTATGCGGTGATAAGATTGAAAAATTTTATTTATTGTGAGCATCGTTTTATAGCGAAACTGAATAGGCTCAAATTTTCATGTGCAATGCATAGGAAAAACGGAGTACTTTGACTACATCCATTCAGATCTTTGAGGGTCATCTCAAGTAGTCGTAAGATGGTGCAAGATTTTCTCTCTTTAATTACTGATAAAAAAATGGGAGCATTTTTTAAGCACCGAATAATGAGGCATATAAATCAAAAGAATGGAAGAAACTCATGAAGATTCAAAATTGCAGAAAATTAAAGAATCCAGGGACAAAAGGCTAGAATTTTGTGTTGATAAAACAAAATTTTAAAAAGATCAAGATGTACCAAAGTATTACACAATAAAAAAAACTCCACAGCAAAATGGGTAGGCAAAAAGTTTTAACAAAATGAATCTTAAAAATGTAATGGGTGTGCTAAGTAATACAGGGTTGCTTTGTAATTTTTTGGTTGAAGCAGTAAGTATTGCAGCATACATATATGACTATCTTCAACATTGATTTAAAGACTCCCAAATAAATTTAAAAAGAAAAACCACCCAATTATTCAATACTAAAGATCTTTGCATGCAAAGCCTAAACTCACATCAAGTCAAACCATTCGCAATGAAGTGCATCTTTATTGGCTAATCTAACTGTGCCAAAGGATAAAAACTATGGTTCTTGGAGCAAAATTTTACAAATGCAAGATAACTATGGTTCTTGGAGCAAAATTTTACAAATGCAAGATTAGTAAGGCTCAATCCTTAATGAACAACAAATGGCTCATTTAATTGGTGTAAGACAAGTCAATGGATGCAAGTACAATAGAGCTTAAGGTGGAGCAACAAAGCCAAGAAATTCAGATCTTAAAGAATATGGACAAGAGAGCACTGAAGTAGAGCAAAAGAAGAACGTATGGATTGGCAAGCATAGGCCTAAAAAGTGATATCAATGTCGGACAAAGGAATGGACATGCTGAACTCACTATATGAGCATTCATAAAACATTTGATGATGAGGAAAAAACAGCAATAAAGAATACATTAATAGTACTGAGAAAAATAAATGGTAATGAGTAACACAAGAAAAAAAAATGCTCTCATTATAACAAAACAACGCCTAGAAATTGGCAGACAAACAAACGAAAGTGATTGCCCTTAAGGAATAATTAGAAGGAAATAAGGAGTTAAATTCAAATCAAAATTGGTTCCATGGGGCTTCATAGAAGGTGTGGTTTATAATGAAACATTATTTCCAGTTGTGAGGTACACATCAATCAATATCATGTGAGAGCAGATGGCAACAAGTAACACACGAAGAAATGATATCATTAGAGCAAAACAAAACTTGGGAATTGGCAGATCAACCAAAGAATCAAAAGTTTGTAAGTTGAAAGTGGTTGCCCAGAAAGAATCAAATTCAAATCAAATTGGTCGTGTAGTTTTTCGAATGCTTCATATCCTCTTGTATGTTGATGAAATGCTTATTGCCAGTAAAACAGATTTACTACAGAATTATTTCTATTCTTAACTTCTTACTTGAAAAACAAGCATAAAAGATTTGAAATGTATGAGTCAAAAAAATGTTCCAACCCCTTTGGCTTTACAAATAAAACTAAGCAACGATCAGTCACAATCAAAAGAAGATGAGCGGATATACATAATACAAGTATCTTACCAAAATGCAGATTGAAGCATCATGCATGCAATGGTTCGCAGCATACATGATCTAGCATATAATCTAAGTGTGGTTAAAAAGTATATGCCTGACCCTGGTAAGAATTAGTAGTTGATAATATCTATACATATATATCATTAGGAGGCAGCGAAATGGGGTTATTCCAAAAATCATATTCATCATGAAAGGACAAAGTATTTGGATATTTGTTTGACTAAGATTTTTCAGTGGCTGAATCAAAGGAAATTGAAAAAGGCTGTAAAGCAATAATTCAAGAACCTAAGTCCTGTGGAAAGACGAGCATAACCAGATGAAAAAAACTCTGATTTCAATAAGAATTTCCATAAAGAAGAGATAAAAGGATTCTTTACCCACCCCTTGTTATTAGACTAACAAAAGCAGACCAAAAAAAATCCCGAACAACTCCCCCATGAAGGTGCCGCTTTTCTTGTAATATGTTTCATATAACATGTTTATATTTTTAAAAAACTCCACTCCCTCCACAAGAACACAATCCATGTCCACTTACATGAATGAACACAAAATAGTTACATATGTTCTCTCCTCTCCACTTAAAGTATATTAACCAATTAATCGTTGGTCCAGCAAATATCTTACATCCCCAACCAATTGCCCAATGAATATCATGAATTTGACAATATCAATTCCAATGTCATTGTATCACACTAAATTAATCATCACAAAACCACCAAAATCAACAAGGTCAAACCGAATATCATCAAGCACTACAATATAATTTGAGAAAACCAAGGATATGTCAAGCTCTACTCGTTCAATACAATTTCAGTTCATTCAAGGCCAAGTAATAGAAACAAAATGAGATGATTTACTTCCTTTGGGGGGGGGGGGGGGGGGGGGGGAGTTTTAAGTGTCAA